GTCCAGAAAAGTGCTATATAAGTGTAAGCAATTATTATTATTAATGTAAATTGAGAAAAATCTGAATGGGCTTATATTCTCAATGGAAAATAATCCATTCATTAAATACTTCAAGAAAAAGCAGAAAAATAAGAAACAAAAGTTTAGGAACATAAATATACTATCGGCACACATAACGACAGTCAGGACCATAAGACTAAGGTACTGTATATAGAAAACAAATTGCAAATTTTAATCAACTGAGATCCAACACTGAAAGCATGTTTTACCATAGCAGCACTGGAGGAAATGATAGCAGAGGCCTCTGACATCCGACCGTGAACTTTGCTGACGCGTACTGCCTGCCCCCCTGATGTCTGTGCCAGGTCCTGGTACAGCAGGGCTGCATCTTGAGAGGTTCGACCAGCAACCAGCTGCCCGTGTTTCTGACCACTGCTGCTCCTCTGTCGCCGCCATGACAGGCTGGCTGTGAGCAAGAAGCTGACCTGGAGTGTAAAGCAGAGAGAGGGTTGGGGATTGTAATAACAGCAGAGGGTTATTATAGATCCCCAAGTAAACTAGAAAACTAATCTCATTGATAACTATTAATTTAAAATTCTTTAGTTAAATATCTAGAACGTTTTATATAAGTGAAAGGAATTATTATGTTTATTATAAAGTACAATGTAATCGTTATTAATTGCTCTGTTGTTTATTCCATGATTTTGCAACTGCAAAAGTTGGTATTATGTAGAAGTAATATTGTTTGTTTCACACATTGTTTTCATCAACATTTCTCAATCTATCGATTACTCTTTACAGAGAAAAGGGTAGTCTGGACAATCAACCAACACAGCTGAAATAAAGGAAAATTAGATTCGTTTTCAATATCTTTGTTTCGTACTGGATACAAATACATTTTATTAATGAGATGGAGCGGGTATCCAAATAAAGCCTACACCTTCTGTTTTAAAGGAGAGTGGGGGTACAAAGAACCCAAGAGAGAAGTAAAATGCATCAGATAAATAGTTGTACATTGCTAAATACAAAGTGTATTAGAAAAAAAATGCAAAAAATTGAAGGAACTTCATTAAGTAGGTGATTACAATGTAACTGAAATCTCTAAAAAATAACAACATGAAGGGATTGGTATAGAATTAATGGATCCATATCATTCTGAAGAAATAAGGAGGATGGCAGAGACAGAATTTCTTACTGGAATTTCAGAGATGGAGTCATATTGATTTGGCATTTACGTATTTGTTGTATATGTCTTTGAATATGAGCATTAGGTTGTGCATTCACCAAACATTAATTGCTACTGGTATCATGACTTCAGGCTTTAAAACCACAAAATGTGAAATATATGCAAGAGTGTGAATACTATTGCAAGACACTGATTATGATTAATACTTTAAATGTAAAAGCTTTATGACTATACTGTTGACAACCAAATTCAGATAGTAATTAAAATGCACTCTTAAATAATGAAATCAAGGATGTAGATAGGAAAAAAGGTTTTAATATGAGATTTAAATTTGCCTCAAAAATGATTAGGAAACCTCATAAGGGATTGCAGCACCCCAAAATAAACTGTAGACATGACCGTGACCTGCTTCCTGTACTCAGTTTGAAAGAGCACTTATATCTTAAGGAATTACACTATCAGTCTTGTCTTTTAAATTTTTAAAAGAAAAACAAAATTGAGAGAGCAATTGGGGACCTGCTGAAATACCGAGGTATGACTTTATAATTGTATAGGAATTCCAAATATTTATTTTCAGGAAAGAACATATGAATTCTTAAAGCTTATTAAAAAATGAAACCTACACGTACAGTATGAGAAGTAAATGTAGTAAGATATGGTGTAGGAAGATATGGAATTGGAACACAGAGTACTTCTTATAAATAGAAAACATTTCATTTAATGTGATTCTTACAGCTAGGTAATTGCAAACTCACTTGCTGTAGCTCTGTAGTTCTGTCCTTAAATACCTCAAGATAACTGTCATCCTGCATTTGTCTTTTTAAAATATATTTTGCATTTAGCCACTGTTCTTCCAGAGAGAAAGTATCATAAACAATCAAGGTCAGAGGGTAATCTTACTTTCAAGTACCCCACAAATGTGTGTTTTACCAGACAGTTGTTAGAAAAGAAATCCTCTACAGTATTGTATATCTTTTTCGGAGCAGCATGGTGGCGCAGTGGTTAGCAATGCTGCCTTGCAGCAGTGGGGACCTGGCTTCAATACTGGACCTGATGAGCTGTGTGGTGTTTGTATGTTCTCTCTGAGTTCACAAGGGTTCCCTCTGGGTGCTTAAGTTTCCTACCACAGTCCAAAAACATACTGTTAGACTAATGGGCTTCTGAGAAAACTGGCCCTGGCATCATTGTGTGCACATCTGTCTTTGTGTCTGTCTGCCTTGTGATGGACCCCATCCAGCTTGTACTCTGCCTTGTGCCAGTGCATGCTGTGATAGGTTGAATTTGAACAAGTGGTTAGAAAATGGATAGATGGACCTTTCTTGGACCTGGAGTTTATTTTTGATACATCTGACTACTTTACCATCCTGGAAAGTTCAGATGCTGTCACGATCATTACTCCTCCTCTTAAGGGCGCTCCAGCCCTTCCTCGTTCTGTCCCATTCCCCACACCTGTTCCTTATTCCAGCCCCTCTTTAGTTCCACCTTTAAAGCCAGACGCAGGCGATTGCTCGGGGCTTCTTATTGATTTCCGTGTCGTGAGAGCCCGGGGTCCTGCCGCGTCTGGCTCCGTTATGGTTTTAGTTTCCTGTTCCTGATTCCCTGCCCCGCCGGTCCCGACCCGGTTCTGGTTTTAACTACGGATGGATCCCCTGGTCTTGGACTAAACCTCCCGTCTTGGATTCCCCCTCTGGATTTACCCTTGGATTGTTCGCCCTGGATTCACTCCCCCCGGACACTAGCACTGCATGGACACGCCCCCCTGTCTCATGACCGACTCCTGCATGATATTTTTCCCTATTGTTTCTTCACCTTTTGGATCGTGTCGCCCGCATAGGGCCCGGAAAGAACAGTTCTTGACAGATGCAACAAATCTCATTTACTCAGAACAAGAGTCATTTGTTAATAAGGCGCCACCTGTAAAGTTTCACTGGCCAAAGACAATCGATAGGTGATACTAGTGGTGTGTTAGATGTTAATGAAACAATTGCTTCATTTTATCTGTTTCCCTACTGTTTATCATCTTTAAATCCACATAATATTGAATATTAATATAGAATTTTGTAACTAAAGCGAAATGTTGGTATCTGACAATAAAAATAACAGAGGCATAACATCTCTCAACACCATAAACAATGTTTATTTAGGAATATAAATATATTATACATAAGTAGGTCAGGTGGATAGCTGCATCAGAAAGTGTAGGCCGCAAAGGAATATTGTTGTGTATTTAAATGTTGTGTTTTCTTCAGGATCCTCACACCTGAAGAAGGCTTCACGGCTGAAACATTGTATTTTCTTTCTCCCTTTTTTTCAGCATGGAATAAACCTATTACTTGTTCCTTAATGGAGTATATCAGAATTCTGATTATTATTTAGCAAAATTATGCTTTGCTTTATAGTGGAATATTCTAGGGGGATGAGTCTAACCTAGAAAAGGAGCTCTTCAAGTTAGGAGGGGGGAGATAGAAAAAAGTTGGTTGTGGGGTAGAATAGGAGCTGCCTACAACAATCTATTTTTTATACCAATTAATGTACAATAGCTTTTTTTTCCTAGTTCTGTTTTTCACTTTGGGAACACAGTTCCTCTTAATAAACACCATTGCACGTCTTTGCAATTGTGGCTGTGCCATCGTTTTTGTTATATTCCATCTACGCCTCTGAACTTTTCAAGGAGGAGACTGTGACATTTATGGTGGTAGCAGTGGGATGGCAAGCCGCAGAGTGCTATGTTCCCAAAGAGGGAGGCCTGAACCGCGCTCTCAAAAATCCCGATCAAGGAAGAGATGGAGGCCTGGGATACAGTTGATTCAGATGGTTCAGAGGAGAATCCAAATAAGGAGGCAGGCAAATGCCCTAAATGCGACCAGGAATGTCGGAGCAGATGGAGGAAACAAAACTGGTATCTTTATTCCAAGATTTTTTGACAGGACAGCAAAAGCGAGATGAAGGGTTTCTAAAGGAACTGTGTGACATAAGGTCAGTGTTGTCTCTTGCACCTGCTGCAGACACAGCTAGTGATACTGGACCACGCCCAAGACTATAACTCCCCACTCCAGGTCATGTGGAGCAAGCGCAACTGGACACTTCCATGGAAGGGAGTCACAGGGCTTCCTGTGTCTCCTTGTTCCTCTGCTTATGGGATAGGCCTTGGAAGCATACTCAGCAATGAATGAGGATATATACAATGCCTACAATGACCTTAAGGATACTCTCTTGGCTAAATTTGATATTTCACCTGAGACTTATAGACAGCGATTGAGGTCTGTCACAACACCACCAGAAGAAATCCCGACTGAGGCATATGACTGTCTCAAAGGATTATTCATCCTGATCAACACAACAAAGAAGAAATAGGAGAAGCAATTATTCTTGAATAGCTGGTTCGAATCCTTCCTCATGACATCAGGACCTGGGCCAAGGGACATGAATGGGAGGATGGGTTAACAGCAACAAAATTAGCCCCGTAGTACCTTAACGCACGATGAGGGGGCCCATCAAGACTCCAGCAGACTATACCCAGAGGATCTAAAAACACTAAAGATGGCCAGAACATTGTAAGTACCTCTGGGGGGGTCGGAGTCTGGAAGGCATCTAAAGGAAGAGAAAAGGACAATGCGGACTGTATGACAAGGACTTTATATGTTTCTATTGTCAAAAGCCAGGGCACAAAGCATCAGTGTGTCCTTTGAGAAAACCTAAAATGACTGGTTATTGCTATGTTCTAAGAAAGGAAGAAGTGTGGGACCAGAAAAATGAAAGATCTATGTATATATCTATGTTTGCTAATGGACAAACAGTCCATGCACTGTTGGATAGTGAAAGTTCTCTGTCTTTGATTAAGAAATGTAATGTACCAGATAGCAGCATTCTATATGATCAACAGACACTGATTTAGTGTGTACATGGTGATCAGAAGCACTACCCCATGGCAGAACTGACAATGGTGGTAGAAGATCAAAAGTATTTGATGACAGTGGGTGTAGTGGAACATTTACCAGGTGGCATGACTTTAGGCAGAGGTTTAACAGTGTTAAATGACTTTCTACAAAATAACCCCAATGTAGAGAGTTTAAAAATCAAGTTTAATTTCCAGTAGTCAACAGGGCTCAAGCAAAAAATGGTTCACAACCTCTGCCAAACTTGTGTGATAGTTTGTCTGGGGGAGGAACCAAAGGACCAAAACAGCTAGGTAGCCCTATACCTAAAGTAGATGGATCTGAGCTGAATCCAGGGCAATGGGAAATTCCAAATGACATCAGGAAATTATGGAAGGAAGATTCATCTCTTGTTCCTTTATTTAAGAAAGCTTATGGGGATGAGGTGAAAATGTGTGAAGGGGAGAAGTATATTGTAGAAGATGGTGTGTTATATATTGCCAGGAAAACTGACAACCACTTGGTCATACCCAGTAGTTGTAGGTCAATGATTTTACACCTTGCACATACAATTCCATGGGCAGGACATTTAGTACATCAAAAAACATACTTGAGTATGAGCTCACCCTTTTAATGGCCAACACTATACAAAGATGTGCAAAAATATTGTCAAACATGCCCCAGGTGCCAGAAAACCAGTATATACTGTAGATCTAATCGAGGTCCTCTTCAACTGTTGCCAATAATTTCCACCCCATTTCAAATAATAGCTATAGATATAGTTGGACCTTTGGAGAAAATTAGTACAGGATACCAATATATATTAGTTATCTCTGCAACTCTATGCAACCTGTTTTCTTGAAGCATTTCCACTTCGCTCAATAACAACACCAATAGTTATCAGTGCACTTGTGCAACTATTTTCTAGGGTGGGAATTCCAAAAGAAATCCTGACTGATCAGGGAACTAACTTTACTTCCCAGCTGATGAAACAGCTCCATCAACAGTTAGGTATTACAGTGATAAAGACCAGTCCCTATCATCCACAGACAGATGGACTTGTGGAAAGGTTCATTCAGACTCTTAAGAACATGCTAAAGAAATTTGTGTCTGATACTGGAAAGGATTGGGATAGATGGTTACCTTCTCTTTGCATATCGAGAGGTTCCACAAGCTTCAACCGGATTCTCTCCATTTGAGCTGCTATATTGAAGAGCTGTTCAAGAGCCGTTAAATTTGCTGGGAGGCAACCTCACCTACAACATCTGGAGAGGGGATTGTGCAGTATGTACTGGGAATGAGAAACTGCCAGGAGAAATATCGAGAAGAGGCTAGAGAAAACCAAGCTAAGTTACAGTGTGCTCAAAAACTCTGGTATGACCAGCATGCTCGCCATCATGAGTATAACCTAGGCACAGTGTCAGTATTGTAATCCCTCCTCCTCTGGCTCTTTCACATTTTAGTTGATAATGTGCACCTGTCTCCAATCCAGCCCCTCCTTAAAATCCAGACGCTCACTCTATTCCACGCTCTGCATTGGAAGACAGATGCCCAGAGGCCCGCCTACCACCAAGTTGCCCTACACCAGCAGCTTGAGGGCATAGGCCTCCTACCAGCATCCCAACCCAGCTGAGTCCAGGGCTCAGAGTGCCTGGTCCCATTATTCCAATTTTTAATCCATCTTCCTGCACCGGATCCGTTTTTTAACTTTGTCTTGTTTTGTCCTGGACGGATCACCCGGCTCTGGACTCTTGCTCTGGATTTCCCTTTGGACTCCCTTGGACTTGTTCACCTGGACAACCCCCCACCCCCACCGAGCACCTGTGCACAGTCGTCACACTCCCATGTTCATCTACCAGCCCAGTTCCTCATCTCCTCCCAGTGTCTGTTTTACCCCCATCCAGATTCTGCCATCTGCATAGGGTCCTGATTAATGCATTGTAACACACAGAAACAGGACTTGTGGCTCTGCAGTCCATAGCCTCTCATAAACTTGCAAATGTACTGAACCTTGCGACACTACACCCTTTTAACTGGATATTACACCTTTCTTAGTCTGTCTGGGGAGCATCTGTTACATCCCCAATACTGCTATAAATATAAGAGACTGTGAATATAAAAGAAATATTTAACATATTGTGATATATATAATTAATAAAAATGTAAAGATACAGTAGTATAAATATTAATTTAATGTGATTATTAGCGAAAGATTCTATTTATTTAATATTTTAATTGTAGAAATATATTAAATATAATTACTTAAAAAAAATTCTGATTTAAAAGGCCAGATTAAAACTAGGAATTACTTAGTAACCAGGAGATGTAGACGCTGCCAGAAAGCAGTCCTATGGGGTCCATGGGAATTGGAGTTCCTAAACTAAAACTGCATTAGTGACCATTATGAAAGTGTATTGCATCCCCAGGTTTGTTTGAAAAGGTTTCAGATTTGTTTTGTATCTGTTGTATCTGTTGTAACAATGGTGAATATTATCGTGGTTCTACTACCTTTATATATAATATTGCAATTTGTTATACATGTGTGTTGTACAAGAGATGTAGCTGTTGGGTTACTCACAGGTTCAATGTTCTCACATTGAAAAAAATATGCATGTGCTGTTGATATTAGTGGTTTTACAATAAATCGAAAAATGCATTTTTATTTATTCGTGGAATAGTTTGTCTTGCATATTGTAAAGTCACACTGTTATTCAATTTCTCACAACTTGCAATGGGGGGTAAACAGCGTGTAATTTAGTTCAAAACACATTCAAATCCACAGATTTGCCAAAATAGTAGTGTGCATGTCACTGAACTGTAGTGTGATTGGTATACTGTATAAACAAACTGTATATACAGTATGATTCTTTATGGTTTTAAAGCCACTAGAGTATAGTACATGTGAAATATATTTTTATAATAAAAATGTAAACTTTAAAATTGGTTCCTGTTTGCTTTTTGCCTAAATTAAAACAGAATATAGATTATTTAAATGCAGATGTAATCCTGAAAAATGCACATCACATCACATTCACAAGCTATAATAATAAACTATTTTTATATATCCAACTGAACAATTTTGTTATTGTATAATAACCCTACTTTTTGAAAATTAATTTAATATTTTACATACTGTAAGATGCAATATAAAACTCATAAAAGTCTAAAAACCATACAACTTCAATTCTATAATTGGAAAAAGGATTGTCCCAAGAAACTAAGCATTGATCCAAAACCAGGCTTTTTCTGGCTTCCACACACCACATTAAGCATTCAACTGCTTCACCTGGTGGTTTTACATAATAATGCAGTCCCTCAACAGAATATTTTTTATAAAGTATCTTGTGGTGTTTAAACCACAATCTGGTGCATTATTTGATGTGCATTCTGAATGGCTGGATCTGTATGTGGTTTGAATTGTGCTAGTTAGTATGATAGTTGTCTTGATATTTTGAACAAAAGGAAACAGAAATTGCCATTACACAGCAGATCCATTTCAGACACCATGTTATCTCTACACAATAGTCTTGTTAATAAATACTGTTTATGTGAACAAGTAAAGGTTTTTTCCATGTTGGAAAGAGAAAAAATAAACAAAACATTTCAGCTATGGAGCCTTCTTTGGGTGTACTTCAAGTAGCTACATGGAGTTCTACTTCATGTAGCTACTTGAACTACTGTTTATATGGTCAATTCCTCTTCTACAAAGACTAAGACATTGGAGCTTATTGATTATCTTACAATGTACTTCAAAGTTAATCATTCTAGTTAAGCAGAGAGAAATGAGAAGTTTAGTATGCTGAATAAAATTAATTTGATTCATGATCTGGCTTCATTTATCCTGAGAATTGTTTTATTTTTGTCTTAAACTATGGCTAGTTGTGTGTCTGACAACAGCATGATTATTGCCATCAACATTAAGTTGATAAACACTTAGAAATACCAATTATATGTTTTTTATGTCTCAACTCTCAGCTCCAACCCCTGTGACACACAAGAGAGAATGAGGAAATTTTGATAGACTCATGCCCACCTTCAAACTTTTTGTGTATTGACTCATCCCAGACAACACCGCCCAAAGATCACTGCTAATTGAAGGGGAGGTAAATCTTTCACTGAAAGCCTTCCATAAATGCAGGCAGTTAGGATTTTGCTGGTGTTGCTGTGTTGCCGGGGGGGCATACTGAATCTAATCAGTATTATTGGCAATATTGATCTACTTAACCTTACTCTTAATAACTGTGAACTTAGTTAGTTCAATCAAAGCATTAGCACCCATTGGACTATTGGCCTCACACATACATCTGCAAAGGACATCTGTTTTCCTTAATCAGGACACACATTTAGAACTACTGACCACAGATTTGGTGCTCTCAATCAGTGCAATGATGGTGCTCTTCAGGTAGGAGTCCTTAGCTGAGGCATCAGTGAACACGTAGATCTCTGAGGAAGGGGGGGCACTGGTGAGGGCCAGCTGAAAACCATACACAGGCAGAGTAAAGAAACTTTTATGAACAGTATGAAGCAACACAGACTTCTTCAGAATCAACAGTAAAACATGAACTAAATCAAGTAGAGGGAATTAATATAAGGAAATGCAAGTTTCACAATTTTACACAAAGGATTGTGGGAGTATGGAACAAGCTGCTCTGCCAAGTTGTTGAAGCTCATACACTATCTTTTATCAAAAAATGAGCTCAGGTCTGTTGTTCTCTTTTTTAGATCCATTAGAATATCACTAAATAGTGGATCTCCATTTTCAGTATATCCATGTTTTTGCTTGCTGTTGTTTCTGGAAAATTACATTAATCTCCATAATATGCTTATGATGTTTGAATTATTGTTTACATTTCCCCAGTATATCATATAGAGTGTAATTATGGCCCAACCCATGTGTCTGAACAAAGTGCAATACCAGTCTGGTGCTGTTAGATAGACCTGACTTGAGTAACATGCCTTTTTGACCACCCACACGTCTTTTATTATCCCTGGGTGCTGGCCTACACCCCACAGAAAAGTCACAATTTTCACTGGATTGTGAATGTGATTTACACATTCCACACATTGCTAATTCCTAGAGGGGGTAGAAGTGCACATCAGTGAAAGCATAATTATATTATGTGCCCTACTTTTCTGTATGACATCTGTATTACAACTTATCCAAACATATATTTGAAATTCAGCCTTGTTGTGACTGGGTCCTTGAACCACTCAATGTCACACTTTTGACCTATCATTAATGTTGTTATAAACACTCATTCTTTCACTAGGAGGAAAGTGATATCTGGCAGATAGCTACTATCTTCCCTCAGGGAATGTGGGTTACTGGAATAATGAAATGCAGGTACATACACAGGTGATTCAACTGAGTCAATCTCAGGATTTAAATCCAGACTGAAAACCTATTAGTTAAGCCTAGCCTACTCACACCTTACATCATAGCTTGTTGTAATGGCTGCTGGTGCTGCTGTACATAACATTGTGTGTCTTAGTGTTGGCCTTCCAGGTACAGATGCAGCCATTCAAAATGCACGGTACAAACCCGTACCGCACTCAGCTACCCACAAGCCACCACAGTCTACAGCGGTAAGTGATTGGCTGGCCAAAATAACCGACAGGGGCACTCGTGGTGCATTGGTCAGTAGTGAAAAATATAATCATTTAATCTCTTTACTGTGCATGTTTTAATCCGCTTAGTATTAAATATTTATATGGAATTTTACCACTAAAGGGAAATTTAAGTAGCTATGCATAAAAAGAGGAGCATAATGCATCTGAAGGTCATAAACAATATTAATTTAGGAACATAAACATATTACTGTATGATTGTAAACTGTACTGTGTATGGCTGGTCTTGGTAGTTAAAAAAAAATACACACCAGTCTTCCATTTCTACCTAAACATTTTAAGCATAAAGGTTTTATGAAACGGTCCCCAAATATGCGATTGCTGTATAGAATGAATTTTAATTTAAAAAAAATATTTAACACAAAAATTAAGATGTTTACGTTTCAGAGAATATAGTCACTTGTTGCTACGCAACACAGAAACACAGCCACAGGTAACTAGCAAAGAGAGGACATTAGCTAGCCAATATGATAAAGGAATACATTTTTTTTAATTTCTTTTGCACATTTATTTGAAAATTTCCATCGATTGTACAAGCACTTGGAAACTGTCCAATCCTAGTTCGTCTGCATTTTCCTTTATGCTCCGGGCATTCTCCCGGTCTGGCGACGGTCTGTGTCTTCTAGGATATAATGCCGGCGATTTGTGTTAAAATTGGGTTTCCAATAACGCCGCAGCAAACTCTTGTTTTTATGTCCACTATAACGGACAATCTCCCTTGCTTTTAACCGAGCATTTCATAATTTCCTAAATTGAAAATGTGACAGAATTCTGGGGTGTCCTTATACCAGAGATTATGGTAGGCTTCAGAATGGTGATTGGCTGACACCATCTGACACCCCTCTGATTGGAGAAAAAAACTTGATGATCTGTTCTACATACTGTAGCAGGAAGACAACAGCATATGCTTTTTTCTCTTCGAAACGCGTATTTTAAAAGTTTAATTAGGAAGTAAAATCCTTACAGCGTACACAGATTTCTAAACTGATCAGGAAGAAATATCACCTGTGTTTCGCGCATAAAAAGTGGTTATTAACTATCGAAACCTGTTTTATTTATTTGATTTTTATTTAGATTAAGAGTTCCCATCACCCACGTTTCCATTTAAATCGCAAACCTATGTTTAATTAAATATGTTTATTGATTCACAATCTGGCAATGCAACGTAAATCGTTATCTTTGTCTTCTGCATAATAATGTTCACCTCTCTGTCCAGCTAATTAAAAATAAGCTTTATTTTCATCGTCTCCACTTTAAAGGTACCCTCGTTGCGGAAGAATTTGACCACAGAACATTTACCCAGTGTAATATTGTATTTCAATGCACTTTGACAGATTGTCTTTAAATCAATTGTTGTCAGAATTTCCCCACCTCCAAACAAGAACAAAATTGCAACGATTTTATTAACTGGCTGTTTCAGTAACTTAAAGTATATAGTTAAAGTAATAATTTAACAATATATGTAAATTTTTCTAGATATGTTTATGTTGTGAATGTCTGTAGATTGTATCTTATTTTTAGTTTTTGTTTTGTTTCACGTTAATTTGATAAGGGAGAGAGTCATAGAGATGACTCCTTTACCCCCCATCTTGATTAAAATACTTTTATTTTTCACAATCTGGCAATGCCAGACAGAATTCACATTCGCTACAGCCAAATGGCCTTGCAGATCAGAAAATCAAGGAGCAAAACAATTATTGCGCCCGGCTCCTCAATGGAATCGCTTTAACATGCTAATGCATTGGAGTAACAGTCTGGGCGTGGCAAGCTTCTAATGTCTCCCGACTTCGGCGAAAGGAACCTGTCTTTCATTGGAAGACAATGAACACATTCTAACCGTACATGAGAATATAATGCTGGGGCGCGGGTGCAGTGGGGTGCTGTACCAGCTGTCAAAAAAAGTTTTTTTTTTAAAAAGTCAATTGAGAGTCCATAATATTGCTATTTTGCTATTGCTACTGAGTCTCTGTGTCTATAGTACATTGTGAACAAACCGGTTTCACAGGTATTTTCAACCCCCAGCCACTGTTGTTTCATCGGTTGTTATCCTGTGAAGCGCTTTGAGGAGCCACCTTTAAAGGCGCTATATAAAATAAAGTTTATTATTATTAATATTGATAATATTTTTCCTCCCAGAACTTGTAAATTGTTGTTGTTATTGTTGTTGTTATCCTGTAAAGAGCTTTGAGAAGCATACTGTCCAGCTTGTCAGGTGCATTCTCTTGTAAAATAATAAGTAGAGCTTTGGGGTTATTAGTGCTCCACTTACAGCAACCCAATGTAAATACATTTTGTCTCCAAATCCACCACCACTTGTATGAATCATAGCCCTGCCAAAGGATGCAAATTCCGCTGCAATGGTTGTGTGCAGGAATTAGTCAGTATGGCATCTCCATGTTCAAGTAAACATTGCTCTGTGTGCAAATGCAAATGCATTTAAAAAAAAGTTTTTTTAAAAAAAAGCCACCTTTAAAGGCGCTATATAAAATAAAGCTTATTATTATTATTAATATTGATTATATTCTTCCTCCCAGGACTTGTAAAATTGTTGTTTTTATTGTTGTTATCCTGTAAAGCACTTTGAGACGCATACTGTCCAGCATATTGTATTTCATTGACAGGTATTCTGTCACTTTGACAGATCATCTTATAATCACTCATTGTTAGAATATCCCCTAAGAGGTATTCAGGTAACAGTGAAACGGGCGTACAGTCTGGGGAGATCGCCCATTTTCCATGTAAATAGTTCCCTGGTTCCGCACCCCTTGGTCTCTCTCCCTTTCTGTCTCTCTCTCTCTGTCTCTCTTGGGCCCGCGCTCTTGGCGGGCTTGTCTTGTGTCTCTCTCTCGTCTGGGCGTGGGAGTGCTGCTGGCGGGTGGTGACGGAGAAGTAATAAAGCGCAGTTTTTAACTCCACAAGTTTGAGTCTCTGTGTTCGTCCTCAACGAACCTAAATTCATTACATTGGTGTCAGAAGCGGGAGGGTGGACAGTGAACGGCCGATGATGTCGGACTCAGAGAAGAGCCGGTTCCCCCAGCAGCCGAGTGACCCCCTAAAGCGTCGGGACGACCCCTCAGCACCGCCAGTGGCCACAACCCTTATCAGGGCTACCCCACGGTGACCTACTCAGTGGAAGGGGGGCTCTTTCCTGGGTCGCCTCAGGCCGTGAGGCAGGAAGGAGACACCAGACCAGCGGGGTCCAGCCATTCACCCCTGCTCCAGACTGAGCCGGTGAGACTGAGCCATTATAATAGGGAGATCCCATGGCAAATGTTTGAGGCCCAGTTCCAGATGGCGGCCTGGGCAAACGGCTGGTCTCAGGTGGAGATGGTGGGCCACCTCGCCGCCGTCCTGGAAGGGAAGGCCTGCCAGGCATTGCTGGATGTACCCAGGGACCAGCGGTACAACTACGCGGCGTTGGCGTCGGCCCTCCGTAGGCATTTTGGCAGGAGAGGGGAGGCGCCGGGACTGCTGCGGGCAAGGTTGGCCCAATGCTGCTGCCTAGCGGGAGAGCCACTGGGTCCAGTCACCGTAGATGTGGCCTACTTAGTCCGCCAGGGTTACCCTGCTCTCCCGGAGGAGGCCCACCGGGAGATAGCGCTCCAGACGTTCCTCTGGGCCCTGGCGCCGACTGAGGTGCAGCACCACGTGATGCTGGCCGCGCCGGTCCTTATGGAGCAAGGCCTGGCTCTGGCTGAGCAGGCTGATGCCGTATTCAAGGCATCGAATGGGCACCAATGGAGGGGCACACGGGGAATCAGATGGGGAGGAGTAGATGGCCAGCACGGTGATGCTGGGGGAGCGACGATGGCTGGTCATCTGCCACCGCTGTGGGGATAGGGGGCACATCGCCCGGGATTGCCAGGCGCTGGATCCCCAGAGACTCCGGAGGCCATCGGGAAACGGGAGCAGGGCGGCCTAAAGGGGTGAAGGCCGCCCTTGAGCGACGCTACCCCCGCTCCGGAAAGCCAGAAAGAGCGCTTCACCCCGCCTGCTGTGGGAACGGTTGGCCACAGCCGGGGCTTATTTCTTCCCTGCCTCTTCGAAGGCAGACCCTGCCAGGCCTTCGTCGAAACCGGTTCAACCATCACCCTGCTGTGGCCTGGTATCCTGCCGGGCACCGAGGCAGCTGGACCCCCAGGGCGCTCACCGTGCACTTTGGGGCTGCGAGGGTCAAACACCCCTTCTACCTTGCCCCAGTCCACGAGGACTGTATCCTGAGGTTGGACTGGTTGCAGCAAGTGGGCTGGGGGAACCAGCGGTTCACTGATTCCGACATCATCGGCCATTTACTGTCCATCCCGCTGCTGACACCAATGTAATGAATTTGGATTCGTTGAGGACGAACACAGAGACTCAGACTTGTGGAGTTAAAAATATCACAAGGATTCTCTTGAGGATCCTTGTGATATTTTGAGCCCTGGTTGAATGATAAATGTCGCAGTTTAAATAATTTTCGTTGTTAGAAATTATGAAACGCTCTGTTAAAACCAAGGGAGTTTTTATGTCTGTTATACTAAAAGAAAATGCCCGATGAACTAGGGATTGGACAGTTTTTCAGTGCTTCTACAATTGATGGAAATGTTCAAATAAATGTGCTAAAGAAATAAACAAAAAAAGTAATTTATTCCTTTATCATATTGGCTAACTAATGTCCCGTCCTTGTTAGTTAGATCAACGAAATGCTGTGGTGTTACATTTTGTTGATTAAAAAATAGTCTTTTCATTTAAAATGATGGTTACAAATAATGTGGACCAGCGTAATACTTTGAGTTTACAGCTTGTCCAAGGTCATTCATTATTAATACTATTAGTAATATCTTCGGTAATGGCTTTGATGCATAAAATATTTCTGCATAATTAAAATATTTATGATAAATGTAGGTTGTGTACATTTGCCCATCTTGCTTTCATAAAATATACCAACTTTTTAATGACTGATGATTAACATGCTGTAATACACAGTTTACATTTAAAAGCTCAAATGCTGTATATGAGAGGTTAAGCTTTATTGGCTCCTCCTGGCGGTTTTACAAGGTGATACCGGATATTTTCTGATATGACGTCATATGACGCGTTACACTGCGTCATACCATGTTAGGATACGGCACGCCCACCACATGGTACCGTGGTGTATCTCACTTGTTTTGAATGGCTGCATCTGTAGATACATCTGTTCTGACCAAACTATCCTATTCTTTTCCCCACCGAGCTGGGCACCATCTGAGTTGGATACTGCATCGCTGCTATGGATCCAAGAGGGACATCGCGAATACAGTTATGATTTAGGAGGATTTGCTGGTCTACAGAGAACTGCATGGAGTACTGGCACACAGAAGGACACGATGGAAGACAATACTCCACATTTAGTACTTTTTTAGAATTGTATAATCTTAGCATGCCCAGAGGGGTTGGGCAGCCAGTTGACATTGGACCCCTGGAGGTTTTTTGTCTCCTTACAGAGGAGTTTTTGGGTTCTCTCCTCTGTTGTCTCCTGGCTTTTTCTCTTCCTGTATTATAATGTCATGTACTGTCACACAGCTTTGTTAAGTGCCTTGGGGCAACCTTGTTGTAAAAGACACTATATAAATACAAATTGAATTGAATTGATTCAAAATGTAAATGTAAAAGCAATTAATAACATATGCTGTTATTTACTACATGTAGTTATTTTCTGCTGCACTTCTGAGCTTACCCCTTGATGAACTACACTTTAAATTCAATTACACACAAGGGCCCTACTGTCCTGAAGATCTGGAGTTGATGTGTTACCAAAATGCCACATGTGACATGTGTATAGGAGTCTTGGTAATCCTTGAAAAGTGAAGGTGGAATTAGTTAAAATGCAGTTGTAAAGACTTTGAAGGAAGGATAAGAAGGAAGGATATAACAGAGGTTCACAATTGTTCATTTTATTATTTAAAGAAATATTAGTAAAACGGGATAAAAATAACATTGAAAGCACAAGTCTGCTTTCAACTGCTGTTATATGCTCCATGCATGGCTAAAGTTGTTTAAATGTGATACTTTGTTGGTCATGTAATGCTTGGTTTTTCTTTTTTATTTTGTCTCTTTTTGTCACCGTTCCATAGGTTAGAATCCTATGGTTTAGTATCTTACGTGTTCTGTTCTTTACTAATTTATAATGTCTTTGTTTAGAGTTATGCTTTGTTGTTTCACATCGTGGTATGCCATTGGTTATTATGCCATACCTTCATGGGCTTTTCGACTGGGAGAGAACATTCTGTATTCTGCTTTTTGCTGAGTCTGTGAGAACTCCAATATATAGTCACCTGAAGGGCAGACAGACACATCTCTGGCTCATCACCTCCTCCCCTGGCACTGAGAGCATTGATTTTCTTTTTGAAAACTTCTGGGTCCTTTGTCCTTGTCACTGGTCCATAACCTACACAACACAGAATTAATATCAGTCAAACATTATTTTCTAACAATTTAAAAAAGTCTACAGATCTACAGAAAGAATAAATTGGTCATTAAAATATTTTCTAATCTTCTAAGCATTCAGGGTAGTCTCAACCAGTTTTAAATCTAGCCAAGCTAAAGCCAAAATGCAAACATACTTATACATTAAGAAAGTAATACAGTATGTCTACATTTTAGCCATGTACAGCTGAATACTACAGAGCGAATTTACTTCAGCACATTTAGTGTCAGTCACAGAAATTTGCAGGTACAAGGACTGCAAGGCATAATCTGGAAATGAATGGGTGAATGACAGGGTCCAGAGAATGCAGTGAGGAACAGTTATGTCTAAGTGAAAATGAAAGTTGGAAAGTCATTACAGTACTATATATATGGTAAAAAACTTATAAAGTATTACAGCCATAAAGCCTGACTATAATAAATTGGATATATTAGTACTGACTACATCACAATCTACTGTACTGTATGTCTACAAAGGAGCCTAAATTTAACTAAAACATCTTGAATTCTGACACAAAATACCTGTACACTTGTAAGGATAACATAATAAGTTCCACATATGGCTCTTTAGTTTAAGTTTCTGTCACAAGTGTCAGGTGTAGCAAGATTGTGTCATTAGAAGTACAGCACATTGTTGCAAAGGATGTCTTGGCAGTTACCAATATTATCAAGCTTTCCAAAAATGCCCTTTAATATTAATTAAAAACATTAACATATCATGACCATGTCTTTCTGTTGCTTGTGCGTTTTCAAGTAAATGTTCAGTCATTGACTGTCCATTATGGTCAAAGATGATTGCACCCAATAGTCACTACAGAATCCAAACACTCTTGAGAATTACCAGGTGGTGCATTGCACTATTCAATCATGGTGATTTACAACTAAAGGGTTGGTGGTAGAGGATAAAAATAAGAGGAGCATAACGGCTCTGAATGTAAAGGCTGGTAGTGGTAGTTTAAATAAATGCACAACAGTATTCCGCTTTCTTCATAAACATTTTATGCATCAGTTCTTCACCTACTGTGGTTATTTTAGAAAAGTTTTGACGTGCTTGTTTTGATTATATTAAGTTTATATACTGAAAAAAAATACAAGATGTGAGGAAGGGGTTAACTGATTCCTTTCTGCATGAGGACTGAACTTCTAAGTAACAGGCTAGAGTTATGGCAGGAAAGGGGGATAACTGATAAGGATTCCAGATGCCAGCTAGGAAATCCCAAGGGAGGGTAACCTAAAACCCTGACCATTCGGCCAAAAGTCTGTGAACTGTCCAAATACCGTGACCTCTCCCCCATTACCATAATAAAGAGCTACGTCAGAAGCGGCAGGAAAGGGCTATACAAACTGAGAGTTTTGTACTGGCACATTGAACAATACTTTGGTTTTGTTGTTTCTTGCGGGAACAAGACTTCGGTTTTATTGTTCCTTGCATGCAATAAAAGTTATCTGTTTAACTTCATCTCGGGATCCAGGACTTATTTTTCTGTTACAACAATACTTAATAAAAAGTTAAAATGTATAACCTTTCAAATGAATACTTGTGTTTGTTATCGTGGTAAAAAATGTGAACATTTTACAATCTGCTTAATAGGGAATATAATGTGAAATCGCGTATCTAAAGAGATTAATAATGATATTAATTTAAGGATCTAAATATATTTATATAGCTTTAACAACTGTATTAACACAGTCCACTTTCTTTGTAAAAATCTGCAGCAATTTGACTCAGTCACTTGTGATTACATTTTGCCTGTCCTTTACAACTACAGCTTAAGCTGTCAAGTGGCCAGGTGGCACAATGCCTTCAGTGCATCATTGGCATTTTGGAAGCCAAGGTTCTGTTCCTGCTCACGACACAAGTCTTCTTTTAACAAATAAATATTTCTTTAAAACTCAAATAGCAAATATTATGGACACTATATTGATTTAGTTCAGGTGGGTTGCTGTGTCAGCATGCGTAGACTTCAAAGAAACACGTAATAATTATTCCATGCTGAAAAGAGAAGAAAGACAACACAACGTTTCGGGTGTGGAGCCTTCTTTGGGTGTGGAAGGTGTACCTCTTCACCTTCTTCAGGTCTCCACACCTAATGAAGGCTCCAAAGCCGAAATGTTTTGTTTTCTTTCTTCAATTTTCAGAATGGAATAAACCTATTACTTGTTATTATATTGATTTATTTGGTATTTCTAAATATCACAATGTGTTCAAAGTTATATTAGATCAACATGGGTGGGTTAGGGTTAATTTGTGAAACTCCCTGATGTAACAAAACCCCATTGTGTATGTAGAGTAGAACATGTTTGTGGGATGGGAATGGTTCTTATAGCAAGGTACTGAGATGTTAAAAGTGTAAAGGGTTGCCTCTGGCAGAGTTCATCTTAAATTACTCAGAGCATATGAAAAGCAGCAGCAACCTGTGTCGGTGTCAGTGGTTTTATAATAAATAACATAATAATAATTATTAATAATAATACTAATTAACCAAATAATATAACAAATCGAATTCCAAACAAATTAACTACAGAACGTCTTCTTTTTCTGTTTCAGCTTAATGGGGCAAATATAAAGTCAAATCAAGCAGTATCTTGGATTGTAACGTGCAAAACAAGTTGTATAACAAAACCATAAAAGAAGCAGACCTTAAATTTAGATTGAGTATCTCTGTAGTGTGTTGGAACAGTTCAACGAAATAAAACTTCAATACAGTAAGGTAGACAGATTTTACATTCTTCAAGTATAATTAGTTCTTTAAGGTTTGTCAAAATCAGATTCTTTGCAATCAGTACACGACTTCTCAAAAGATAATGTACCCATTTCTCTCAACCAAAAAAGGTCTGATTTACGTTTTAAATTTCAAAACCTTGGATGGTATGCCCCAGGGATTTATTCGTAGTATAATACAAACAAAAGAGCTGGGTGACATGCATATATGAAGTAGAGTTAACAGCTTCTGTTTCAAAAGGTTTTGGATTTATGTTAAGATCTGTATCTGTTGTAACTGGAAATACAATGATGTAATTTAGGTTCTACTATTTAAAGTTTAAGCTTTTAAAGGCATGCAATGTCTAAGTTAGGCAGGAACATGCCATTGTTTCTCATTTTTGATTTTCTTAAAATGCTTAAAACATCAGCTTCTCACTTTCACCTTACCGTAACTATAGCGGAGCATATTTGGGGGCTTGTTCAGGATCTTTGATTTGTTTTGCAGAGTCAGTATTTTTCCTTTGATTAAAACTAGTTGAATGTGAACCAGTGCTGCTGGTTTTAGCAGTCTTTGTACTACAGGTATTGCGGTACTGTAGTTTGTATTATGGGTAATTGTGGTGTCCATCATGGCTTTGAGTTTAGTGTATTTTATTCTGTGCTGCACTTTGGAACTGTCTGAGAAATGTTGCAAGGCAGACAGTGAGTTTAAGTCTCGGTTTACTGGGGACATATCAGATGTTAAACTGAGGAAGGCATTCAACCTTCACCCACACAGACAAAGGGGATAAAGGCAATAAAAAGCCATTCAAAAGGATGGAGTGCATTAACACAAACTCTAACAGAGCCACTTGTGAGAGCGAGGTAAATGTCTGCTCAGTTACACAAGATCCAAAGTACAGTCAGATAGATTTTAAATTCTTTAGATTCACAGATATACTGAAACAGTAGTGCACACGGCAGAGTAATCATATACTGTGTAAATTTACTGTGTGTACAGTAAGATACCATATTGTCTCCAGACCATATGGTTTCAAAGTATATGTGAAATATTTTATTCAATTTATTAATCCAATCTAATTTTACACATCCGGCTATGTAAAAATATAACCAAAAGGATTGCTGTAAAGGTGCGGTGGTTCTGTGTCTAAGCATCTTCGCTTGTGGCTGGAAGGTTGCTGGTTTGAATCTTGCAGCTCGTGGAGGAGTCCTACTCTGTTGAGCCCCTCGGCAAGGAACTCCACCCCAACTGCTCCAGGGATGCTGTATAAATGGCTGACCCTGCATTCTGACCCAAAGCTTCTCTCCCTGTCTATGTGTCTAATGAAGAGCAAGTTGAGGTATGTGAAAAGACAAATTCCTAATACAAAAAATTGTATATGGCCAATAAAGTGAACTTAAATTAAATTCCAAGCTGACAAGACTTAATGTATCTTCTCTGTAACTTCTCAGTTTACAGATCCTCCATGGTCATTCATTATTGATATAATTAATAATACACTCCGTATTGGAACATTTTTACAAAATATAAAAAGAGGCAATACAAGACGTTTCTCATCTAGAACTCTTCAGTTTACAGAATAATTCCCGCAGAGCCACACAACATTGTCACAACATAGTAAACAACAATGTGTGGGTCAAATTGTAACATGTCTGTCTTCACTGTCATGATATGGGTTTCAACATATTAATAAGCTGTTCTCCAGTTGTTGGTAATTGCAAAAAATTACTTCCATAATCACGAAGCCATCACTGATAATAATTCATCCAGATACACTCACTCATACCAGAGCGAACAACATGTATACGTAAAGCTATATGTATAATAATGGACTATGTTTGTATATTCGGCTATGTAAGAAACAAAGCAAAAGTAATTTTCTGATCAGGCTTTGAACCGCCTACGTTACATCGTGCTACTTTACAGTCCATTCCCCATTTCCAGTATAAGGACAATATAAGTTTTTTTTTTTAAACGAATGTCAAAATGTTTCCAAAACATCCACTTTTGTTTTGTTTTGTTTGATGTTTTAGCTGTTTGGTTACAGGATTCCATATTAATATTACTATCAAGTGATATTAAACCACGACCCACTGTAAGTTACCAAATTAAAGACATTGATGAATAAAATATTTATGAATAATTTAAATATTTATGAAGGTGGAAGTACTTTTGTCCAACTAAGCAATCTTCCTTTTATAAAATATACCTATTTTTTAATCAGTTTAATGTTCAACATGCTGTAATTCACAGTCAA